GTGGGGGGGAGGGAAAGTGCTGCGATTTGGGGTGTTTCTTAAAATAGCAGCTGGGAAGAGGAAGCGAGAGAGAGAGAGAGAGGAGCGCGCGAGAGAGGGAAAATCCACCCGACCCAAAGCCCTGGGACAGGAGGTGCGGCAGGACCAGCTCCCGGCGAGGGACCGACGGCAGCTCCGCTCGCGGCCGCAGCCAGCGCGGGGCCGGCGCCAGCCCTGCCCGCCGCCCGGCGTGGCTCTCCCCGGCCACAGCCGGGGCTCCTCGGCCGGAGTTGGAGGTGGGCTTCAACTTTTGCTCGCTGCCTCCGCCGCCGCCCCGCCGGGGGGCTTCTCCCCGCCGCAGCGCATCCCCGGCGCGGGCGGCCAAGGCAGCCCTGCCCGGCCCGGCCCCACCATGACTTCCAAAGAAGAGCCCAAGCCCTCCTCGGGGGAAGAGCGGCGGCGGAGCCCCTTGGATCACCTCCCCCCGCCGGCCAACTCCAACAAGCCCCTCACGCCCTTCAGCATCGAGGATATCCTCAACAAGCCCTCGGTGCGGAGGAGTTACAGCCTGTGCGGGACGGCCCACCTCCTCTCGGCGCCGGAGAAACATCCCCCCGCCGGGCTGCCCCTCTCGGGCCGGGCGCTGCTCTCGCAGACCTCGCCGCTCTGCGCCCTCGAGGAGCTGGCGAGCAAGACCTTCAAGGGGCTCGAAGTGAGCGTGCTGCAGGCGGCCGAAGGTAAGACCAGGGGCCTGGGGGCTCGGGGGGGCTTGGGGTGCTCCGCGTGGCCGCCCTGTAGCGCTCGGGGGTGGCTTGCGGGCCCAGGGACCGGCAAAGGGGGCTGCAAGGTGGGGGGGACATCAGCCGGAGGGGCGACAGCGGCGAAAATGTGGCGCCTCGTCGGCAGGCAGAGACGGCATGACGATCTTCGGGCAGCGGCAGACGCCCAAGAAGCGTCGGAAGTCGCGGACGGCCTTCACGAACCACCAGATCTACGAGCTGGAGAAGCGCTTCCTGTACCAGAAGTACCTGTCGCCGGCGGACCGGGACCAGATCGCGCAGCAGTTGGGGCTCACCAACGCGCAGGTCATCACCTGGTTCCAGAACCGCCGCGCCAAGCTCAAGCGCGACCTGGAGGAGATGAAGGCCGACGTGGAGTCGGCCAAGAAGCTGGGCCCCAACCCCGCCGTGGACATCGTGGCGCTGGCCGAGCTGGAGCCCAGCGGCGAGGGCCGGGCCAAGGCGAGGCCCGGTTCCCCGCCGCCCCCC